AAGTGTTTTTTTCTAAAAAGTGCTTTTCTCAAAAGTACTTTTGGTGAGAAGCAGTTTATGTTTGACTAATTAATTTGAAAAGTACTTCTGAGTAGCAATTAGTATTTGGTCAAGCTTTAAAAAACTGTTTCTAAGTTATTTTTCTCGAAAGTGCTTTTCAAAAAAATATTTTTGAAGAGAAACTAATTTTTTTTGTTTCTTTAAAACTATTTCTGCTTCTACTCAAAAATACTTTTTTTCCTTTCAAAAACTTAGGCCAAACACCTTAATGTTATTAAAAAAATTACTTTTGACCAAGAACTTTTGACTCAAAAGAACTTTGGCCAACCATGCTATAAATTACGTTACACTGCTAGTGTAAGAATAATCTTTAAACTGTAGTTACCTTTAACTATCTGGCGGGAGATTCCGAGTGGCAATTTGGTACTTTCAGAAATCCGATATGGCAGCAAGGTCAGATTGTTGTACGTTCTAGGCCAACCTTAACCGATCGTTTTTAACTAACAGTATCGACTCCTCCCGCAATCCTAGACCCAGAAAAAACTGCAACACACACTCACTGCTCTCTCAGTTTCACTCTGTGTGTGTGTGAGAGAGAGAGAGAGAGAGAGCCGACAATGGCGGGATTGAATATATTATCTCAGACTCCGTCGCCATGGCAGCTGTCAGCTTCCTCCACATCATCATCCTCATTTTCTTTACGCTGTCGTCATTTCTACAATTTTAATATTTACAATTGCGGCGATATCAAATGCTATAAAATCGGGTCGTCCACTTTTTCCCTTTCTGGAGCTCCAAGATCAAAGCCTTCTGCCTTTTCATCTCAAATGCTGCCTCAGCTCTCTAATTCTTCAGGTTTTAATTTTGAAAATTTTCCATTTTTTTAGCTCTACTGATTGTCGCTTCATTTCAACTCGTTAGAAATAAATTTGATTGTATTTTCTCTTTGTAATTTGGTTCCCACAAAACTTCTTAAAAGTTGCAATAATAGCAAATATTAGCTGAAGTGAGTGTAAGCTAAATTTTCACGATTCTTATAATTGGAAACTAATTCTTGCTTATAGTTAACTGTTGGCTCCAAAATTGGGGTTGTCCTAGTGCTGGAAATAATGCTGTTAATATGGAGTTGACTATAAATTTGTTGAACAAATTAACTGCTTTGTTGGGAGGGAGGTGGGTGGGTAGGAATTCAAGAGTTGGAGTTGGAAACTGGAAATAATTAAGTAAGATCCTGAAGTTTTTTCTTTTAATTTCAAAGCCACGTCCCGAATTTCTATGATAAATTGAGGGTTAATAGTATTTGTATATGCTATTTTTAATAAAAGAAGACAAATACAAATATCTACGCCGGGGGTGGGGATGGTGTGGGGGTATAAATGATTTATCTGCAGGCTGCAAGACTAAACACAGGTTTTGAATATGAAATTAGTGAACCCTTCAAATATGTATATTATACCACTTGTATTTGTATGAGTTATTTCTTGTGTTAGTTAATGACCAGTGGTGTCACTTCTGTTAAATGCCGTGAGACCATGTTCTTTTAGCCCGTTTGCTTTCATGGTTGGTCATGGTTGTGCAGGCAGTGGATATTCCTGGATGCAAGATAATTCTGCTTCTTGTGGTAATTTTTCCCGCAATGGAAGGAAGCAAGGTCCATTGAATTCTGTGGCTCCAACAGAACGAGCACAAATTTCTTCTGTGGACGATCTTTATGACTTCATATGCTCAGGCCCCCTCATCAATAAGATAGGTCTGACACCCGAAAAAGTGGCTGAGTCCATTGATAAGTGGATAGAGTATGGATTTCGCCTTTGTAGATTGTTTCAGCTCAACCAGCTGGCTCTCAACGAGCCTCAAAAAATTCGACTCTACCACTACTATATTCCAGTCTTCTTGTGGTGTGAACAGGAAATTTCACAGCATAGTTCCAAGTTCAAAGACAACGAAGAAATCCCTCCGTTGGTGGTAGTCACATTTTTATCATTCACTTGGTTCTTGTGTGTTTGATTTCCATTGAGGTCCATATCATGTTGGTCTAATTACAAAAAGTAAACATAAACACCGTTAAGATAAGGTATATTCTTGGCATGTAGATTGGCTTCAGTGCGCCTCAAGGATGTGGAAAGACAACACTCGTATTTGCATTAGAATATCTTTTTAAAATCACAGGGAGGTAAGTTGCATCATGATATTTTGCTTCCTCTGTGGAATGGAAATGACCAAAAATTATGCTGAACATGTGTAATCAGGAAAGCTGCTACACTATCCATTGATGATTTTTATTTAACAGCAGAGGAACAGGTAAATGTTTCATGAGATTGTGGCTTGCTAGTTTGTGTCTGTGTATTATCACGAATGCTGACAAATTATGTTGTTTTAGGCCAAACTAAGAGAGAACAACCCGGGGAACTTGCTTTTGGAGGTATTAAATGACGAATAATGGCTGGTAGCTCTTTTGTTCTCATAAACTTGAGATGTAAAATTTTTCATTTTTCACTTCAGTTCCGTGGAAATGCTGGAAGCCATGATCTCTCATTGTCTGTTGAAACACTGGCAGAGCTAAGCAAAGTGACAAAAGAAGGTGAATGCACCTTTTTAGTTTGTGCTATTTTTCAGTTAGACATTGGATCTATACGCTTAATTGATATTCAACTCCATCCAGGTGTGAAGATGAAGCTTCCTCGATATGATAAAGTGAGTAAGAGCAATCATAAACATTTAAATCTCAGTGGGTTCTGCATATTATTTACTAATTCTAAAACTTTATCTCCAGTCTGCGTACAATGGGAGAGGTGACAGAGCTGATCCCTCCACATGGCCAGAGGTTGAAGGGCCTTTAACGGTAGGAAGATCTTTTTATCTAGAGCTGGCAATTTAGTGAGTTTCTGTTCATGTATGTTTAATGATTCAAGAGTGACCCCAATTCCATCATCTCTACACCTAGAAGTAAAAGTAAAAGTTCTAAAATGACTTAAAATGGTAAGAGTGTCAGCATCATGGCCCAATTCTTGTAAAAACACAACTTTTCTCATCGATTGAACTCGAGGGAAATGGTTCGATTGCCTCACATCATTGTCATTTACTTTGGATATTAGGTAATTCTGTTTGAGGGTTGGATGCTTGGTTTCAAACCTCTTCCACCTGAAGCTGTCAAAGCTGTTGATCCACAGGTTCAAATACTTGACTCTCCTATGGATACTTCATATGCTTGTGCTTTCTGTTTAGATCTATATTTCTTGGATCATTAAATTTTCAAAATTGCAGCTTGAGACAGTCAACAAGAACTTAGAAGCTTATTATGATGCATGGTATAAGTATGTAAAATCATGGATTATCATCAAGATTCATGATCCAAGTTATGTCTATCAGTGGCGTTTGCAGGTTCGTTTTGTGATATCATCTACGTTTTTGTCCGTCTTCCATATTTATGCTTGTGCTATTTATTTAACTAGAGTAGTGGGATGTTTTCAGGCGGAGATTGCAATGAGGGCTGATGGGAATCCTGGGATGTCCGATGAGGAGGTGAAAATTTTTATTTGTTCTTTCTCAAAAAACTAATCCATCACTTAATGCTTCAGAGGAATGTTGTCCAATATTTTGTTCTCCTTTTTTGTTTTCCGTAGGTGAGGGATTTTGTATCCCGCTACTTGCCAGCATACAAGGCTTACCTTCCCACACTCTACTCAGAAGGACCTACTGGCGCAGACCCGGAGCATGTTCTTCTCGTTGAAATTGATGAAGGGAGAAATCCCATCCTTGGTAGCTAAGGTAAAACTGCAATTATGGAGTTGGTTTGATCCTTGATTGATTTTTGTTGCAAAGAATGGGACCTTTGCGAGCATCATTTCCATCTGAGAGTTTCTTCACTTGTACATTCAAATGTAATATTGTAAATTAAGCCACATGTGAAGATAAGAAATTTTACACGAGTTACATTCTTTAAATTTTATCTTGGATTTTATTTTTTGTGCAAAGACTGAGACCCCTTGCAAGCATTTTTCTCCACATGAGAGTGTCTCCACTTGTATTATCAAGTGTAATATTGAAAAATCAGCCATATGTGAAGGTAAAAATGTCATAATTTTGGTCGAGTTACTTTCTTTGGCTTGGCGTTTATAGAGCCTAATAATCTTTGACCATAATCTTTCAGTGTCAAAGGATTATATTTGATGATAACATGCCAAAGACCTAACTCCACGCCTTGAGAATCCAACATTGGAACTATATTTCTTGTACTTTTAACTTTGGCGTTCTAGTTATTTATCTATATTAAGAGCACAAGAGCAGCTCTTTATTTTCTATATACTGTTCGATGGAGTCTTTATTTTGATGGTTCGGTTTCAATTCTAGCCAGTTTTTAAAGAACAACCTCTTTGAACGCAGAACCGGAGCTATAGGGTCCAAAGGGGGTTTAATTGAATTTTGTGCGAATATGGTAAAAAAATAACTTTTTTGCGCATGTATAAATTGGTGAATCTCCTTAGCTTAAGGGAAACTTATAGTGTAGAACGTTGGTTCAAGAATTGTTCTAAATTTTAGATTTAACTCTCAAGTCTTAGTTTTGCATTTTTTTGAATCCCCTTTTCAGAATTGTATTTTTGCTTCTTTGTTAATTTCCTTGTTTGAAAAATAGAGAAGTAACCTCTTACAATATTGTATATCGAAAATTTCTAAGTTTCTTTCAAAATTACAACTATATTACAAATGAAATTTAATCACGTTACAGTGTTCACTATACTGATCTCCCACGCATAGCTGATTATGATAATATTTTAGAGTACAACAACAACAACATACCCTAGTATTATCTCACACCGTGGGGTCTGTGGAGGGTAGTGTATACGCAGACCTTATCCCTACCTTGTGAGGTTGTTTTCAATAGACCCTCAGCTCAAGAAAACATAAGCACCACGTTAATGAAAATATAGACAAGAATGGACAGTACCAAAAAGCCATATAAAAGCAGGATAAAAACAACAAGATAGTAAGGTAATCAACAATGAAAGAAAACAACGGCTTGTCATAAAAATTAACTACCCACAGAAAGCGAGACTGCGTGCCAATACTACTGGCACAACCAATCAGCTGCTTAATTACATAACAAGTTTATTCAACTTCAGAGTTGTAAATATACAAAAGAGTGCCGAAGAAACAGGGAGTTAACAAGAGGGAAACAAGTTCTATTTGGAACTTATGTTAGCAGAGATAGATGCTAACAAATTAACAATAACATACATAGCATTGACATGGCTAGGAAGGACATCAATTAAGCACAGTTGCAGCAGAGCATGTCCAAACAGCACTCACAAGTCTCGTAGCAACAGAAGCAGCAACACATTGCAAACAAACTGCATCCGGAAAAATGATGAAAAAATGTGAAACAAACTGCATCTGGAAAAATTGAATATGATTACTTTTGGAAGAAGTCTCCCAAACTTGAGAAACTCCTAATTTGAGGCTTTACGAATGTAAAAGTTAAACTCATTAGTTATCCATTTTCTAAATAGATAATATGGTTCTTATCCATATTTGACCAATTTTTAAAAAGTTCATTACCCAACCTATTTTTTAGTATATAATATAGGTGGATAACTATTTTCTTTTAACCATTTTGCCACCACTAGTCAATACATGTACATCAGTCTTTCCCTTTTCTAGTTGATAAATCAACGTTTAGATACGTGGTCGGAAGTAGCCTTTATGCTACGGGTTCAACTGAACTCATAACCTTCGACACAAAGTATAAATTTATATGTAAAAATCTAAACTCAACAAATATTATATATGAACTCATAATTTAACAATATAATCAATTCAATGCTGGAAATCTTAAAAAATTGAACTCGTTAAATTTAAATCTTAAATCCGCAAAAACGGGCTTTTTCACACATAATAGATAAAGGTGATCTGAAAAGAAGAAAAAAGAAGAAGATGTGGCAAGAGTTAAAAGAAGTACGAACCAAGCATAAATGCATCCTTTTTCCTCGTGTCTGCGTTGCACATGTTCAACATAAGTCATCTCCTGATATGAGGGTGCGTCCATTTTTATTCTAAGCTTATTGCAGCTAAAGGCTTTTCAGAGAAGTAATTTATAATATACTGAGAGAGCTTTTGGTATACCTTGAGTTGAGTGAACCACTTTAATTCCTTGTATGGTTTATAATACAGCTCACTTTGCATAAGACAACAAACGAAAGTCCTAATAGCTAAAAGACACATGCTTTGTCTCATTTTTAATACTACTATATATCCTTATCAAATATCTGGCAGTAGTTAGAAAATGGGATTATGTCTTTTTCATTTTACTGACCTCTACACTTATCTTGCAGGTATCTTTGAGAGTATATGCTGGGAGAAGTTATATTTATAGTATAATATATAATTGCAGTTTGAACAACATAAAAATATCTGCAAGGATAAAACTACTTGTCTTCTCATAATAGGCTAATGTAGATCATTTTCTCACTTCCACTAGACATTGTTGGAATTCAACTTATTATATATAAATCCCTCATAAATCACATGGTAAGGCTTGATTTAGACTCAATATAGAAACACACCTCATCAATTACTAATAGATTAGAGGTTTGAATTATGTGAAGACTAAATTATTTATCGCAAATCGTATCAATGTTTTATCCTCTAGAAAAATCAGACTCAATAGAGATATGAGGTTACTATTCAATGAAACTAAAAGATTTTGGATAAGCTTATGATTGTAAAGATTGGTATTAAGTCCCTGTTGGAGGGTAGACAAACGTGAAACGTGTGACATTAGTAGTCTTCACAAAACCTAGAAAGACCAATGGGGGTTATGTCAAATGACAGGAATGTGAAGTGATTAGGTGGCAGGAAAGCTACAGGATTTTGACGTAAAATCATGTTAAATAATAGGTCCCACACTACTAAGGGTTATAGTGAAATATTTCTATCCTTAATCAGAACTCTCCTTTGTGAATTATAAGAATGATAAAAGAATCTATATAGGGACCGCTTCCCTCTTTAGTGAGACTTATTAGGGGTGAGTGTCGGTGGGTTCGCCGGTTCGATTCAATTTTTTTTGTTTCGATTTATGATTTTAATAACTAAAATCGAACCAAAGTATTTTTGGGTCAATTTTCTTACGGTTTGGCGCGATTAATTTCGATTTGGTTTTTCAGTTTTAGGCTTGTTAAATTGGACTTCTTTCTTAAGCAATAAAAGAGCTTCAAATTAAATTCTTATAAAGTTTCTGAGGCTCAATGCATATGTTTGGAAAATTGTCCTACTGTAATATGCTATAACATAAAATTTAATTAGAAAATAATAAAATATACACTAAGAATATATGCTCATTGTATTTGCTAAGAATATTACTGTTTCTATAGTAATGCGTATTTTTTTATTATTGAATTTGCAATTTAATATTTTATTAGTAACAACCATTATGATTTGCACATTAAACTGAAAGTAAGAAAGAGATTTATGTTATCATAGGAGAACCAATAAATATCATAGTTTATGGAATAATGATTATGGTGTGCTTGAGGTTATTAATGTTTGGACAGCGCAACTGTGGGGTTGGACTATGGGTGTTTAACGGGCGGGTTGGGACGGGCTGGACGCAAAAAAAATCAGTCTGTTCGTTTGACGTTGCGGGCTGTTAGCGGGCTGTATTTTTTTGGATTTTTTTATCCGTCCGGGTTCGGGCTTAGCGGGCTGGACCGGGCCGTGCAATTTTTTTTTTAAAGTAAATTTTATTTTTCTTATTCAATGTTATTGATACTTAAGTGTTTGCAAACTTTTAAGGCTTAGAATTAAACTTTGAAGTTTAAAGTTTTAAATTTAAAATTTGAATTTTACAATTTTAAAATTGAAATTTGAAAGTAAGTGGCTACAAAAAATTTCATGAATAGTATTACTTATAAATGCACCAGTATACCTTTGATCTTCATCATATTTAAAAGCAATAATACATTTTTACATACAAAAATTATCATTTATCCAATGGCATGTAACAGTCAAATAATCATTACCATTTACAACACGACCAATATCAGAAGTAAGGAAAATTCTACAAGAAAGACTGTCAAACAAATAACGTATATATGTATGATATTGTCCAAAAAGCCTAAAGATATCAGCTCTACAAGTACTTCTAGGAATACCTTTAAACAAAGGGTTATAAATTCTTTAAATATAAGTAACAAGATATGGTGAAGCAGCAAAATTAAAAGGTAAACAATCTAAAATAATCATTTTAGCTAATTCTTCCCGATCTTTCTTAATATCGTATTTACCCATTAACCCTCCAGTATCCGGGTTAAGTTTTTGTTGCCCATCTTCTTCATCTACTCCCCAATCAAGAGGGTGGTTGTCTACCATGTGCCTATGAAGTTGACCCGTTCCCCCTCCCTTACCGGTCTCATGTTTATAAATATCCTTACAAATTCTACATCTTACATAATTTTTATCTTCTTCTAGTTTGTCAAAAAAATTCCAACACTTACTTCTTAATCTTCGATTCTTCTTAATAGGGAGGGGAAGTCTACTTGTATTATCACGACTTCCACCCCTAATATTTTGAGTTTGACTAGCATTACCAGGTGTAGCTGGTGGTGTTTCAAGATTATCAGGTGATGGAGTATCATCTAAATTATCATCTAAATCATCATCTATACCATAATTTTCTTGAAGTCGCTCATAATCTACATTTAAATTTTCAGGTGAACTTTCAGAAATATGTGTAAAGCTACTAGAAGAACAAGCACCACCTCTTGATCTTTTGAAAGTTTTATTACTACCACCTCTACTAGTGCACACTTTTTTGGCTGCTCTAAATATATCCATTATGTAAATTAAATTAATAATTCTAAATAATAAAATAAGTGTACACCAAAGAAGAGAAAGATATGGAACGAGTGTACCGGGATTCCGGATGCCGCACTAAATTTGATATCAAAAATCAAACTTCAATTGATAGATCGATACTTGATAGTTGATACCACACTCCACTTGAATACTTGATATTTGATAATAATAATTTTGTAATGGCTAAACTAAATATTTGATGAAACTTGAAATAATAAGTAATTGAGAATTTAAGAACAATAATCAATAATATCAAGAGAGAAATGAGAGAGAATTAGAGTAGTAAAAGAGTGAATTGTGAGGAAAAATGAAGAATAAGGGGGGTTATTTATAGTTTTTAAAAGGTTAAAATTATAATTTATCAAATATTAGGGGTGTGGGGGCTATTTTCTTAAGGGGTTGGCCGAAATGGCCATTTCTGCAAAAAAAGGGCCGTTGGCCAACGGTCATATTTGAATTTGACGATTGGCAACGATCAAAAATAAATAAATAATAATAAAAAAAAACCGTTAAAAATCGGGCTGAACCGGGCTGTAGCCCATTAAAACCCCGTTAACGGGTTAACGTGCTTAGCGGGTTCCGGTGCACCGGTATCAAAAAACTGTTCGTTTGAAACCCGCTCCCTGCCCAACCCGTCCCAGCCCGCGCCCCACGCTACAGTACCGAGCTGAACCAGGTTATAAACAGGTCAGCCCGGCCCGATTAACAGGTATAGGTTGGACGAATGTTTGAAAGGTCTGGCACTTTAAGGTGTGGGCTTCAACATTCATTATCAATTAATAAATGATTGGGCTCACATTTAATATGTTAGACTAGGGGTGGCATGTGGGCCGGTTAGGACCGGGACCGGCCCAGGACCGCAAGCCTACATGGGCGGTGGGCCTAAACGGTCCTAACCGGATAGGACCGGGACCGTGGGGTGGTGGGCCGGGTAGTGGGCCGGTTTCATAGGCGAGGCCCGCGAGACCGGGATCGTTTGGGACCGGGACCGGCTGAGAAGTGGGCCTGTTCNATCTTAAGATGTATATATAGTATAGTATAGTATATATATTATAACACATTGCTTTGAATATCTCTTTACAATATTTTTGTCTTTAAATTTGAATTAAAAAATTTAGGTGACAATTCTATAATATAATTTACTAGGAATTGCCTTAGATATTTTTATTATCATTTTTTTTCTCTAACTTGTATAAAAATAATTTAAAAAATAAAAAGTTTCTGTTGGGCCCACTTGGGCCCGCTTAGGACCGTTTGGGCCCGCTTAGGCCGGGACCGGCCCACTTAACACGGGACCGTTAGTTCGTGGTCCCGGTCCCGGACCGGTTCCAACGAGAAGCCCGCGAAGCCCGAGACCGCTTAGGACCGGCTTACTTGGGACCGGGCCCGCGAAGCCCACTTAGGACCGGGCCCGACCCACATGCCACCCCTATGTTAGACTTTGAGAATTAAGATGAGCTAAGAGGCTATAGGACTCATACTTAAAAAAAGACTGAATATATATGCAGCCCTTTAAACTTGTTCCAATTTTTCATTTAAACACTTGAACTAATGTTTGTACCTACTGAAGGGGCATTTTCATATATACCACTTTTGGGGCCACCATTGAAGTTATACGCGCATTGCACAAAATTTTGTAAAGTGTACCCATTCGGATATAAAGTAGTTCAATCTCTTCAATGCAACTACAGAAATCAAATCGAAAGAAATTCGAATCTGAAGTAGTTCAATCTCTTTAATGTAACTTTAGAAATCAAATCTGAAGAAATCTATAATAAGACAATTACTCATACATGCCTTATCCTATTGCCTAAGGTGGATTGCCCACAATCTTTCGGTGAGCTAAGACTTATAAGTCTTAGCAACTTTTCATGCAAGATCATTCCCAAACTGATGAATCAGTAATTAACTCCTTTGATGCAGAAGCTTATATCCCCTAATCAAACAGGGTTCATTAAAGGAAGGTCAATCACAAATAATATCATGTTGACACAGGATATGGTTCACAATATAACAAAACCATCTCCATGTGGTAATGTTGTATTGAAGTTGGACATGGCTAAAGCATATGACAGGATCTCTTGGGAGTATCTTTGTCATGTCCTTAGAAAGATGTGATTTTCTGAATGCTGGATTGAGAATGTTTGGAGGTTATGTCTAATGTATGGTATTCTGTCAATATTAATGGTGTTAGACATGGTTTCTTCAAATCTAGCAGAGGAATCAAGCAAGGGGATCCTTTTTCTCCCTCTTTATTTATTATAGGGGCATATCTTCTATCTAGGTTGATGGATATTCTACTGGAATCAGACTTTATCTCATATTCTGTAGATAAGAATGGGC